CAAAAGCAGATGGGGAGGGAAGAAGCCCCAAGATTTCCCAGGGAGTGGATTGAGTAGCTGGGTTGTACTGTATGCAAAGGATCAGGGAGAGTAAAGGTAAGCCTCGGAGCCCCCAGTAAGAGGCTGTCAGCCCCAGAAAGAGGCTGTCGGGTGTTGCAGGACCAGGGAAGTAGAGGGAGGTGAGGGCGGGGCCGGGTCCAGAGGCAGTGCTCCTGGGGCCCAAGGAAGGCACCAAGCCGGTGGGGGTGAACAGGGTCAGGAATCAGCAGTGGCTCCCCAGGTGTCTGGGGCCCCAAGAATAGGAATGGCACAGGGCCCAAGCTAGGAGTAGAGAACAGCGGGGGAGATGGAAGGGTGAGTGCGGCTGGCGGAGTCAAGGCGCGGAGGGCTGCACCTATGTCATTTTTTAATGCATCCCTTAACAGTCCCATGCCTTGGTTCAGATATCCTGCTTTGAACTAGATTTCCCTATCATATCTTCCCAGATGATGCAAAGCCAACCTCAATCTGGGATTTCTTTGAAACAGAGCTTCAAATACACATCAAAGATATCTTAGTCATAAATGTATCTCTATTTTGCAATGACTTTATGCTGATCTCTGTGTGACATAGCCCACAGGTTCCTATCAGTGTAGTTAACATTCACACATTCTTACAGGTTCAAGGTCTGTATCTCAATGACACACTGCCCCTAATTTTACCCTAGCTCATAAAAGTTCAGACTTTTTTTTGATAAGATTATCAGCATGCAAAATGTTAACGTTATCTGATCAAACATTCAAAGTCAAGTAAGATGAATAATTTGAAGTACCTTTCTTTTCAGTTTTCTCTTTTACCTTCTTTTCTTCTCCTCCCCCTTCTTTAATCTGTTCTTTTGTACCAGAAGAGGTGGTTGTTATTGATGTAGATTGCAGCACATTTTCAAAACCTGTAGAATTAGCTTGCAGCAAAGTGCCAGATGGGAATGGTATCTGCTTCACTGGTATGCAGAAAATAAGAGTATCATTTATGTTAAACTAAAAAACAAGCTGAAACAATAGGGTTGTGAATCATGAATATGAACCATTTTAAAAAGAGAAATTCAATATGTATGATTATCAAATATCTATTATCTGAGGCTGTAGAAAGGTTGACAAAAAATTAAGTAGATTTTAACCATTATTGAGGCAACAAAAATATTTGATTTCTATTCAATCACTAATAACTAAAGTAAGAAATTATAGATAACAACACTATATAACATTTATCATAAACTTACTATGCCCCAAACATTTTCGGAAGGATTCATATAATCCAAACACAATTTTCATAAGTTTCTTACTGAGTTCTATTTTATTCCATATTACCATTTTATAGATGACATATCTGAGCCATCACCAAGTTAAAAAACTGGCCCATCACTTATGAAATGAATAGAGAGTCAGCATTATTTGTCTATACACTTCTATGTAAAAGCGTAAAAAAGACAACTATTTATAGATGGGGCAGGAGAGATGGCTCAGCAGTTAGGAGAGCTAGCTCCTCCTTCAGAGGACCAGAGTTCAGTTCCCTATGTCAGGTGGCTCAACCTCTTCCAGCTCCAGGGGAAGAATTTAATGGATTCTCTCATTTCTGTAAGCACCTGTATACATGCGCACACACATACACACACGTTTATAAATGCAAAGTCCTTTATAGCAATGCTTTAAAGTATTAAAAACAATTTACATGCCACCAATGAATATGGAAAAACTATCTCATGAGGGACTATGATGTAGGTTAGCGTAACATTAAAATAAATGAAAAGCAGTTTTAGACTGTTAATATCTTAGATGTTTAATTCTGTGCCTTCCACTCTACTAGTCTTAGAAAGTATTCATTAACCTCAAATTTTCCACTGACTTTAGAACATGAAGTTTTCAGCTTTAAGCGGTCACTATTGTTTCTTCCTTTATTTCTATTTACCTAATGAAGGGAGTTCATATAACATTCGAGTTAACACTGATAGAATAATGGTCAAAAGAAGCCAGTAGGAAAGGTTTTTCACTGGGCTGGCCAGATGGCTCAGTGGTCAACTGCTTCCCATGCAAACATGAGGACCGGAGTTCAGATCCCCAGATCCCATGTAGCTGCCAAATCTGGGTGGGGTTAGTGGCCTGCCTGCAATTCCAGTGTACTGAGCAGGAGAGTCCCAGAGCAAGCTGTCTTTGGAGACTAGTCACAACAGCAAGCTCTGGGTTTGACTGGGAGACGCGGCCTTAAAAGTGATCAAGGATAATTTCCAACATCAACCTCAGGCCTCTACATACCAGGGCACGTGTCCCCATATCTACAAATAAGAGTACACAGAATACACATACATACATCGCACACACGAAAATGGAGGGAGGGGGTTATCATTTTACTTAGGCTCAATTCACCCATGTTTTTCTACTATAATGAAATGGCTTTCCATGTGTTATTTTGAAATTAACAGAAAAATGTTTAGTGATGTAAATTTACCTAGAAACTTTTTTAAAACGATTCAACAAAATTTTAACTTTATTTAAAATTTCTATTTGAACTGATAATTGTTAGATGGCTTAACAAAAGTCCTTTGATCTTAAATAACTTTGCATCTCCAAGCGTCACTTTCTTGGTGTATAAAATAAGATATCTGAAGATAATTTTTTCCTCTGGGTTTTTGAGACAGGGTATTATCTGAAGCCCAGGCTGAGCTGTAACTCACCATGTAGCCTGGGCTGGTCTCGAATTTGTGGCAATTATACTGCTTCAGCCTCCTGAGTGCTGGGACTAAGGGGTGAGCCAGCAGAGTCGGTGACAAATGCTTTTAAGGCTATAAAGAAGTATGTATCTTGATGCACAATGCTCCTTAAAAAGTTATGTTTAATAAATGTAAACATAGCCATGACAGTGATGGTCCAGCTGAAGCAACTGCACAAAAATTAAAAGTATAGGTTTTGAACACTAGCTCTACAACTTTTTCTATGACCTTAAATGAGATCATTTGACTTTTCTAAGTCTCTATGTTTTCCTCTGTAGAGGAGGGGGAATGCACAGTGGGAGTGATGGGAAGATAAGAAAATAAACATGAGCCTTAAATAATAAATGAAATAATCATTGTAAAACGATCTATCATTTCTATAATCACCTCCATTTTGAATTTCTGCTTGAATTAGATCTTGTTTTAGTTCTTCGATTTCTTTCTTCAGTTTAGCATTTTCAACTCGAAGTTTCTTCTCTTCTCTTAAAGTTGCCTGCAATACTAGAATCAGGGAAAGCCAGTTAAAATATGCTTTTCCAAGGTTTGTTTGACTATTATTTGAAAAGAGCATGGGAAGTATAATTGTAGCTATGATAGCAAGAGCCAGTTTTTGCCCAGTTGCTTTATGACTGTTTAATATTTTCTAATATTATTATTACTACTAGTCTCTTGGTAGTCATTGGGACAATGGGTATATGACCCACACAAAACCAAAACACTGAGAATGCTTAAGTCCTTACATAAAATGGTATATTACATATAATATTCAGCTTCCTATATACTTTACATCATCTCTAGGTTACTTAAAATTCTTAATATAAATGTAATGCGATTTACAGATTAAGGAAATAAAACTACACATATTAAACACACACATTTTCCTCTCTGCATATATCTGGTGCATAATTAGTTGAACCAAGAGGGAAAAAAAAATCTTTGAGAATCTTTGAGATGGGGCTGGAGAGATGGCTTAGTGGTTAAGAGCACTGACTGACTGCTCTTGAGAGGACCCAGGTTTGATTCCCAGCACCCACATGGCAGCTACGAACCATCCTTAACTCCAGTTCCAGGGGAATCTGAAGCCATCTTCTGACCTCTGTGGCATTGCACGACACGGGCGCACTCACATATATGCAGGCAATACACTCATACACATAAAATAAAAATAATAAATAAAATAAAAAAACACACAATGCACTGCACGACACAGGCAATACACTCATATACATAAAATAAAAATAAGTAATTTTTAAAAAAATCTTTGCAATAATAATGGGGCAGAGAAAGTTTTGTATATGTGTACAAATGCATGCAGAGGTCAGAGGTCGAAGTGGGTGTTTTCCTCAGTCCTCCACCTTATTTTTCAGACAGATTTTCTCACTGAATCTGGAGCTTGCTAGACTGACTGGCAGGCCAGCAAGTGCCAGGGGTCTTCCTATTTCCCCAGCATTTACATTATGCACATGACCCTACACCCAGCTTTTTTACATGGGTGCTAGGAACAGAACTCTGGTACTAATGATTGAGTGGCAATCACTTTACTTGACTGTACCATATCCCCAGCCCCTAGAAATAGTTTTATTCATCAATCATTTACTTGGTTTTACTAAAAATCAAATTTACCACCTTTCATTTTATGTAGCCATGATAAACATCACTAAGAAACTGGCCCAAAACCATTGATAACCATATAAGGTAGAGGAAAGTATTAGATACATTAAATTACACATAAAAATCTAGGATCTAAATAACAATACAAAACAAAGCAATGAAGACAGTACTATTCCCTAGGTAGGATACATCTGGGTTGATTGGGTAGGAGCCAAGGATGCCAAATATCCCACAAAATGATGAATCATTTCATATCAGCACAACTTTCCAATATATCAGTATGACTGTAACCCTAGTACGTTATTTGAGCCTGGATTCTACTTTTACATAGAAATATGATGTATTTTTAAGCACTTTTATTACAGCCTGAATTTTTAGGAATCAGACACTATGCTTATCAAATGTCCATGTGTTTTCTTTCATTCGGAGGTTTATATAGGAATCTTTCTTTTTCCATGCTGAAATCAAACCCAAAATATTAATCTACCATGGAGTCACATCCCAGACCATAGTCATCATCCTTAAGAGTAAATCAAATACAATGCCAAAAGCTACTTCTGGTATGAGATGTCTAAACAAAGGCAGACGAAACACATACCTGGTATTAGGTGACCTAGCACTGCTAGTGATTCTATCCATCCAAATCATGCAGCACACAGCTCTTACATACCATATTTGGTAGTACAGTAACTCCAAGGTATTTTTCATTGAGATATACATTACTACTATCGTTTAGAAACTGATTTCTTATTTTATCTCTTATATACAGGGTTATTATGCTTTGAAATTCTAAGTTAAAGCTGGCTATTTTATTAAAAATGTTTTCTTTAAACACTATTAAAAGGAAGTTTCACAGAATATGTATTATATAATGGGACACAGGACTAGGTTACAAAGAATAACAAAGTGAATATTTAGAATGGTTCTTTTACTCTTTAATTAGCAAGTGAAATGCTAGTCAGGATGTTAAGAAATGGTCACAGTTTGAAAAAAATTCCATTTTCAACATTTACTATATCACATAGCATAGGAACGGTCTTTATTAATGGAGATAATCTGGACTAAGGACTTTTAATTAACCCCAACAAAAACATGCTCTTGGGTCTGGTGATGGGTGTCTCCCTGGCAACTTCAGTTTGTTATTCCACCCCAAAAGATAATGGATCGATGTAGGTTTGCTGGAGAATTAGCCTATCAAAGCTGTGCAAGCACCCACTGCAAACAGTGGAGGTTGGGAAGAACGTGACCTTGAATGAATGAGAAAAGCCTACCCAACTTAAACTAGTACTTCCCCACTGAAGCTGGAGAATGAATAAATTATGGGTATGGCCTAACAGGAACACAGTGGCAGAAACAGGGTTACAGAGTCAGTTCCATCAGCACAGGGTGAGGACACAGACAGCTCCATCTGCACAGATTGAGCAGACAAGGGAGATCCATAGGCACAGTTCTGGGAGACAGATGGTTCTAATAGACAGCTAGGGAAACTAGTATCTTCCAAGTTCAGGCCCACTCTTAAAAACTCAATTTAAGAGTCAGTCTATTTGGTCAGGGTAGTGGTAATGTTGGTGTAATTAATGATGCCTGCAACAAAGAAGTGTAAGAAACATTAGATATTAATTTTTTTTTTTCAAACTCTGGAAAAATCTGGAACTTGGGTTATAACAAGGAATTTTAATCTTTTAATCCCACCATACTCTGTAAAACTTTTGCTTAAGGAAAGGCCAGGATGCGTTCTTGAGCCTGATGGCCTGCAGTAGTGTAGTGATTCTCCCTTTGCACCAATTCTTTTAAACTAGTCAACCCAGAAAGACTGTGAGGTTGGACCAAAGTCAATGGGGAACAGAACCAGTTCTCTTGCATTAGGAATAAAAGCTTCCAGGTCTGTGTGTACTTGCTGGACTTTACTGACCATGCAAGACATCCTTATGCAAAAGTGAAATCTACCATGCAGACAGTTACTTTCACTTTATTCACGCGTTCTTTCTGTAGTATTGATCCCCATCAATACTGGGGATCAATACTGGGGATTTCTGTAGTATTGATCCCCATCAATACCCTGGACCTCGTATTTTATTTCTAACAGAAGCAATGATCATCTCTTCACCTTACTAATGGAAAGAAATATTAAGGGTTTTAAGGAAAATACTAGGAAACATTATAGGGAAGAAATAATTTTAAAAGGATTCTGTAAGCCATTCTTAGCTTTATATAGGAGAAAAAGCACTTGCTTCCATTAGTGATAGCACAAGATTTTGGAATTTCTATTACATACCAATACTGGTTATTGAGAAATAATTAAACAATAAAACCAAGTCCTTAAGAGAGTTAGGCTGGATGTTTCTGTATATACAGCAGCATGTCTAAGTAAAACTCAAAGAACACCTTAATAAAGAGAATGGAAAAAACATATATCTTGCCCATGAAAGTCAGAGGACTATGAACATTTCATTTCATTAGAGTCCCCCATTTATTCACTGCTAACATCTAATATTATAGCAATTTATTTTATTATTTATAAATTTTTAAAATCTATTTTTATTTTATGTGTTTGAGTATATTGCCTACATGTACCTAAGTGCGTCCGTGTTACGCAATGTTGATGGAGGTAAGAAGAGTCATGGAGGTAAGAAGAGTCACGGAGGTCAGAAGTGGGCATCTGATCCCCTGTAAATAGAGTTACAGATGGCTGTTAGCCACCATGTGGGTGCTAGGATTCAAACCAGGTCTTTGAAAGAACAGCCAGTGTTCTTAACTGCTGAGCCAGTTATCCAGTTCTTACTTTGCATTTTGATTTCCTTATTTTTATTTTATGTGCATGAGTTTTTGTCTGCATGTATGTAGGTGCATGCAATGCCAATGGAAGCCAGAAGAGGGCGTTAGATTCCCTAGACTGGAGTTAAAGACAGTTTTAGCTGTCATATGGGTACTGGGAACTAAACTCTGCAAAAGGGGCCAGTGCTCTTAACCTCTGAGCCATCTCTCCAGCCCACAGCTAATTTTAAAGAACATTAATTTTCCTTTATCAGTTCTGAGACATTTTCTGTATTTCATATATTTACTACACATCAATTCTTATTTATCTTAATCCTAGAATATTATCATACTCAAAATATTAAGGAAATCTAAAAGTTATAATTAAAATGATCAAATAATAATTTACATAGTAAGCATTTCTTCTGTCACTATTTGAATTTAGGTACTTCCTTAGAAAATTGGGAATTTTCATACTTGCTTTCTCCTTCAGAAGAGCAACTTGCTGCTTAAGATATTCAATGATTTGATCTGCTTCTGCACCCTTCTGTTCTAGTCTCTTCAGAACAGCATCGCTGGTTGCCATTTTTGCCAAGAAACGGCAGAAAATCCTAAGGGGGAAAAAAAATGAAAGTAGTAAATATACTGTGGAAGGAATAAATTTATTGTATAGAATCTTGAGACAGCAATCTTAGGAAAAAACGTTTTCTGTTACAACTGATCACTATCTTAAGCATTTTTTCTGGTGGAGAGCATAAAGCAAACAAGGGCCTGGTGAGATGGCTCAGCAGTTCACGTGCTTCTCACACAAGCCAGAGACTCATGTAAATGCCTACTGGGCATGGTGGCCATCAGTAATTCCAGCCCTGGAAGGCAGAGAGAGGGCATCCTCTAAGCAAGCAGGCTAGCAGGACCAGCTTTATGTGCTCATACTTGCGCATGCACGCACAGATGTGCACATGCACATACATACCCTTACAAAACATAAAGGTAACTAAGGTAAATGGTAAGTAGAATATCATAATGTAAGCTCAGTTCATTATGGGAAAAGGACATTAAAGGTAGCTAATCTAATAAGTATCACATCTGTATTCTAAGGAGAATTGCTGACTTCTTTACATAGTTGTACGCTGAATATTTTCACTATTTGCTGAATTATGTACAATTTTCAGGAAGAATATGTGAAGGAAAGATAAATATTAAAAGAAAAAAATGAACAGAAAAAGACCAACATTAATCTCATGCCTACTGGAAAATAACTATAGCATATATACCGTGATCTTCATAACAATTTTAGAATTTAAAAAATATTTATTATTTTTATTTTATATGCATGAGTGTATTGCCTGCACATCTGCAGGTGCACCCGTGTCATGCAATGCCTTCGGAGGTCAGAAGATGATGTCGGATGCCCTGGAACTGGAGTTACAAGCAGTTGTTAGCTGCCATGTGGGTGCTGGGTTCCAAACCTGAGTCCTCTACAAGAGCAATCAGTGCTCTTAACCACTGAATCATCTCTCCAGCCCCAATTTTAGAATTTTTTACAATAAAGAAAAAAAATATCCTTTCAAGGTATAGAAAATAGCATATAAGCGAATAGTCTGAGATTAACTCATTATGTTAAACTGGCTAATCCTAAAACACACAAACACACTGGAAACTGAGAGAATAAAGTATTATTAATTTTTTAAATTTATTATTTCTATTTTATGTGTACGAGTATATTGCCTGCATGTAGGGAAGTGCACCCATGTCGTGCAATGCCTGCAGAGGACAGAAGAGGCTGTTGGATCCTCTGGAACTGGAGATATGAACAGATGTGAGTGGCCATGTGGGTGCTAGGATCTGAACCCGGGTCTTCTGCAAGAACAACCAGTGCTCTTAACCGTTGAACATCTCTCCAACCCAGGATTAAGTATTATTAACACTGTAAATTATTCCTTTAACCTGTCTGAATACCAATTTATAGTTCAAAATAAAACAATTGTAGAAATAATCCCAATTTTCAATGAATGAAACCATACTCAATAACTTTTTAAAAATATTTTATTATTTTTATTTTATGAATGTATTCCCTGCATGTATATAAATGCACCCATGTTGTGCAATGACCACAGAGGTCAGAAGAGGGCATCAAGTCCCCTGGAACTGGAGTTACTGCCATGTGGGCGCTGGGAACTGAACCAGGGTCCTCTACGAGAGCAGTTAGTGCTCTTAACCACTGAGCTATCTCTCCAGCCTCTAAATTATTTTAAAATATTTTATTATTTTTAATTTATTTGTATGAGTGTATTGCCTTCACGTGTAAATGCACCTGTAAGCACCTGTAAGCACCCTCAGAAGTCAGAAAAGGGAGTCGAATCACCCGGACTTGGAGTTATGGATAGCTTCCATGTGGGTGCTGAGAATTGAATCTGGGTCCTTTGCAAGAGCAGCCAGTGCTGTTAACCACTGAGCCATCTCTCCAGCCCCTAAATTATTTTTTATAAAGAAAAACTGGGGCCATAAAAAAAAAAGATTGCTTTAAAATTTCAAATGATCTTATAACAACAGCCCTGCATTATAAATATTCAAAAATATTTACCTTTTTCTCATAGAAAGAAACATAACCTTTAAAATACTTTATACAGGGGCTGGAGAGATGGCTCAGGGGTTAAGAGCACTGACTGCTTTTGCAGAGGACCCAGGTTCGATTCCCAGCACCCACACGGCACTACGAACCATCCTTAACTCCAGTTCCAGGGGAATCCGAAGCCCTCTTCTAACCTCCACGGCATTGCACGACACGGGTGCACTCACATACATGCAGGCAATACACTCATACACATAAATAAATTAAAAAAATATATACTAAAGTTGACACTATATGATAAAGACAATGGAAGATCAAAAATAAAACACAACAGACAGATGTAGCACACACCATTAATCCCAGCATTCAGGAGTCAGGCATGTGGAGCTCTGTGAGATCTACATAGCAAGTTCCAGACCAGCTGGGGCTACAGGAAGACCCTGTCTCAGAAAACCAAACTAAACCAGAAACAAACAAACAAACAAACAAAAAAAAAAACAAAAAACAGTACAAAAGTGGATTATGCAAACAGGGATTTTAATCTGGAAAAACCACAATGTTCGCTACAAACTATTATATTCTGCATTTAAAAATGAACAGAGTACCACACTTTCAAATATTTGCAAAGATAGAACTTTAGAGGAAGAATAGAAATGGACATATGGAATTAAGGAAAACGTGGTATACTCTTAAAGTTCAGTATGCTGCTGAATTACAACAGCATTTTAGCTTAATGTGTTTCCATTTAGTCTAACATAGTGATCAAATAATATACTCAATAAATGAAATATAATACAAACAAGTAATAATGAGTACTTGAGGATACAAACAATAATGTATACTATTATCACTCCCTTTAGATACTAAAAATTGGTTGTAAGATTGACAAAAGTAGCCTAGCAAGTCATACAGATTGGCTCAAAGCCCATCCTTTGCTCTTCTGCTACTTTAACAGTAGGGTGACCTTGAACAAATTACTCAACCGCTCTGGGTTTTCTCACTTACAAACTAGGGACTGTTTTATATTCATTGGATTAATATAGAGAAATGATATAGCACACACAATCCCAATCAGGACTTTTGACACACAGCAGAAAGAATGTTAGCTAAACTGTCATGTCAGGCATTGAGCAAAGTTTTGAGAACATGGGAGCTGGAGGGATGGCTCAGCAGTTAAGAGAACTGGCTGCTCTTGCAGATGATCCAGGTTTGAATCCCAGCACCCACACGGCAGCTCACAACCATCTGTAACTCCAGTTTCAGGGAATCCAACACCCTCTTCTGTCCTCCACAGACACTGTTCAATATGGGTGCACTTACATGCAGGCACAACACTCGTACACATGAAATTAAAAAATTTTTAAAAATTGAGAATACACACCAGAAAAGTTAAATATACAACCTTTACCTTCAACAGGTTTACAATAGAGTGACTACCTAATGTCATAATTTGTTCTACTTCCCTACATTTCATTTTTGTTTTCAAAGGGATAAGGACATAAATAATAAAATTGAAACTCACAAAGACTGATATAATTTCCTATGCTATGTTAATTTGTCAGTGACACACAGACAATGAAAATAATACATATGAATATCACTAAATTAGTTTAGAATTTTGTGTTTTTAACAGTGAGCTTAAGATATCTAAGGATTTTTGTCCTTAGGACTATGTCAAGGCCACTTGACCATCTTTGCATACTTTATCCTACAAACAGGAATTTCCCTAACTGTGGAAACTTTAAAGACAACAGACAAGATTATTAAAATAAATTCAAGAAAAACACTAGGCAGAATTAAATAGAATAAGGCAGAGTATGATCTGAACTCTTTGTAAAGGTCTTCAAAGCCTGGTATGAGAGTTTCTGCTCTAGCTCTGGCAAAGCAATCTAAGATAAGCACTACATGTCACTTCACCAATGGCACACAATTAGCCAAGAATACCAAGACAAGACTGACTTTTGAGAATTGTATAAATTGTTCTGGTTTAACAGGAAAAGTAAAAATTCTCTGGGTTTTTTTTGTTGTTGTTGTTCATTTTCTGTGAACCTAAAACTACATACAGAGAGAAAGTCAAATCTATTGGAATTGAAAAAAAAAATTTTCAAGGCTTAGAAAGGTAGTGAGGAGGCATAGGGCAAGGATGGTTAATAGGAACAAAATTGCATGAAAAATAGTCTCTAGTATTCTATAGCACACAAGGCTAACTTGAATAATACTTCACAATTTCTTCAAACAGAACAGACTTCTGACTGTTCTCACCACAGACATGAAAATTATGGTAATTATATTGATATTATCATTAGACATTTCATATATATCAAAACATATTGTACCCCATAAATATGTACAATTACTATGTGTCGACCAAAGAGAAAAGAATTTAAAGTTTCCTTGAATGAAAACTTCACTGAAGCACACACTTTAGATTGTAGGTATGTCTAATCTTCTGACATTGCATCACTGCATTGTCCTCTACAAAGCTCATGCTTGAGAACCTCGGAATTGGTTACACACACAAAAATTCATAATGCCTTAGTTTACAGCTTTGTGTTAGGCTATGTTCACAGCTATCCTTGGCCATATGTGGCCCTGTGTGCCCTAGGCTGGATAGGACTGCTAGGGCATGTGAATTTGAAAGACAAGAAAATGTTATGCATCCTAGGACTTTATTAATTTATCATTAATATTGTCTTCATTTCATAATGCAGTAGCTCAAAGTTTTCCAGTCATTTTCCCGTCATCACTTATGATATAGTCACCCTATAATGATATATCAGGTTGCTTTATAGCCTGATATATCAAAATACCATGACACAGGGACTGGAGATGGCTCAGTGGTTAAGAGCACTGGTTGCTACCGAAGAGAACCCAGGTTCAGGTCCCAGCACCCACATGGCAGTTAACAACTGTTCTTATCTCCAGTTCCAGGGGATCTGAGGCTTTCTTCTGGACTCCACAAGCACTGCACTTACATACATGCAAGCAAAACACTCACATACACAAAACTTAAAAAAAAAGAAGGACACAAATGGCCTA